TTAATTACAAGTATTACAACTCCTATATATAGAAGAAAATGTGGTAGTAGGTGTAGTGTAGTGGAAGTGGTAGGTGGAGTGGGTGGTAGTGGGGATGGTAGGTGGAGGGGGTGGTAGTGGTAATTTCCATTTACACAATTTACATTAACAAACATCATATCTAATATAATTATTCATACCCTGACCATAAAAAAAAATTAAATCCCATATTTGCATACTATTTAACCTTGCGTATATGCACGTTTTAATAATTATTTGAATTCGCTCTGCTCCAACGCATGTATAAGGATGCGCGAGCAGAGATAAGTGTGCTAAAGGCGGAAAATAAGGAGCTGAAGCGGAAGGCCACCGTGATGTTCCGATTTGGAGGTCCGCCATATGCTGCAGTGGAGGAGCAGGGAGTAGTGATCATGCCCAGTGGAGTGGGAAACACGGAGGCAACACCGGCAAGGGCCGCCCAGGACGGAGGCAAGAAGAAAAGACCGGCGGCAGAGTAGAGAAGGGATAGAAAAATCCCGCCTGTGGGTGTGGTTGTTTGGGTATTTGTTTATTTTTTGTTTTTTTTTTTTTTTTTTTTTTTTTTTTTTTTTTTTTTTTTGTGGTGGAAAATGGTGATCGGGGTTGATCCTCGACATGAATAAAGGACAGTTTTTTTTGTTTGTTTGTTTGTTTTTTTTTTTTTTTTTTTTTTTTTTTTTTTTTTTTTTTTTTTTTTTTGTTTTTTTTTGTTTTTTTTTTTTTTTTTGTTTTGGTAACTTTCTGATGGAAGTAGATTCCGGAGATGAATAAAATAAGGTTCGGTGTGCAAATTGATATGGGATGAATGGAATTTGAAAAAGATTAAAAATAATGGTGTTTGGAATTTGGTTTTTTTTTTTTTGTGTTGTGTTTTTTTGTTGAATAATAAGAATAATAAAAATAATATAGGAATAGAGAAAGCAGATAGTGGGGAACATGAGTGTGTGGAAAGAAAGAAAAAAAAAAGTATGGGAGAGAATATGATGATGGGAAAAATGATGATGATAAAACAGGATGAGGAGGTTAAAAAGAAAATAAAATAAGATAAAAGAAGGATGTGATGGGCGGTGGGATCAGACAGCTGTTTGATGGGAAAGATAAAATGTAGTGGATGGGAAGATTAAAATAAAAAGAAAAAGGTGGGTGTGATGGAAAGATGAGAGAGAGACGCAGGGGTTGGTGTAATGTGTAATAGTTGATTATACCATTATAGTAGAATAAAAAAAGAGATATAGGAGAATAAAAAAAAAGAGAGAGAGATATATATATAAAAAAAAAACAAAAAAAAACAAAGGAGGTTGGTCAAAAATATTGGTGTAGACCAGCACATGGTTTGTTGGGTGGGTTGGTCAAAAATATTGGGTGAAAAAAAAAGAAAAGGGAGGTGGTGGAAATAAAAAATAAAATAAATGATGAAGTCTGAGAGAGAGGTGCCGAGAGAGTGAGAGAGCTCTGTGAGAGAGAGAGTTGGGTTTGGTCTTCTTCTTGTCCATCACCTTCGCTGCGAACACTGCTGCTCCGTTGATGGCGCCGCACTTGAGCGCAGCCAAGTAGACCGAGCCGATGTCACCAGAGCCGAGGCGGTGGATGAATCGGAGGTCCGGGAGGGAGATTTGGCCCGAGGAGGAGGCGGATCTGGCGCGGCGGAGTGCGTCCCAGCAGGGATTGCCGGAGGGAGTGTGGGGCTTTGCGGCTGCGGCGGCGATGGCGGGGCCGAGGTGGCTGACGGAGGAGGTTGAGGGAGTTGAAGAAGACGGCGAAGAAGAGATGGCAGTTGCTGAAGCTGCGGCCATGGACGCTGCGGCAAGGATCCCTGATTTCTTCATGTTGTTTGGTAGCCGAGAATTATGATGCCAGAAATATAGGGAAGGGGGATTGAAGAGTGGTGTTCCAGAGGAGAGTACGGCCGCCCACAGCGAAGGTGATAGAGGCTGCCATCCGTGAGGAGTAAAGGGATGTGTAAAAAAAAAATTCCAGCGGGCAGCGAAGGCAAGGTTGCCGGCCGGCTACCCGCCGGTGAGAAGAAAATACAAGCCTAAATCTTATAGCTCTGATACCATGTTAATTTTGATGTATGGAAAAATAGAGAGAATGAAATATGTATTGATGATTGATATTATTGATTGATTGTGTTGTTATGTATTACAACTCCTATATATAGAAGAAAATGTGGTAGTAGGTGTAGTGTAGTGGAAGTGGTAGGTGGAGTGGGTGGTAATGGAGATGGTAGGTGGAGTGGGTGGTAGTGGTAATTTACATTTACACAATTTACATTAACAAACATCATATCTAATATAATTATTCATACCCTGACCATAAAAAAAAATTAAATCCCATATTTGCATACTATTTAACCTTGCATATATGCACGTTTTAATAATTATTTGAATTCAACTGGTTAACAAAATTCAATTGTAAATGATTTTGCGGTTTTTAATAAATATTTGAATTTAATCACTAAGAAAATGTAAATTTATTTCTTATGTTTTTATTTCTTTGTTTATAAAGCGACGGGCAGGCCAGATAGAATTCTTGACTCTTTTCTGGGCCTTATGAACATAAACACTTCAAAGTTTAACCTTTTATTTATTTATTTTTTTAACATAAAATGTTTAAGCTATTCACGTAATATATATTTATATATTAAAAATACTAAGCCTAACTTAATTTGAAATTCCCTTTCATTCCATCAATTCGCTTTGACTGTATAATACGACGGATGAGTTTACGGTGAGAGCTTGTGCATTATAAAAAAAAATATGACAGTGACTTAATTAATAAAATAACATATATTACATATACAACAAAATTTTTAATTTAAAGATGAAAAACTAATCATACGTTATAATATCTTATCTTCTCCGTCAATCAAAATAACATAAAATATCCATATTCTCAAAATATCCTACGGTCATGTTTGATTCAAAAGACTAATAGTGAAGTATTAATAATCCTATTAAATTAGTGTATGATTCACTATCCAATTGGATTAATATCCATTGGATTAATAATCCCACCCCTACCCCATTACTAATAATCCTACAAATTTATTGGATTAATTATCCATTGGATTAATAATCCTAAACCAAAATGTTAAAACAAACATGAGATAATTGGGCTCACGAATTAATAATCCTAATTCCATCCTCTAATCCACCCAATCAAACATGCCCTATTATCACTCGTATAAAGAGACCACCGTCTCTTACTTCTATTATACAAAATAACTCTAGTTTTTGGCAATAACAATTATGATGTTGCTTCTTATCCTTGTAGCTCTTCCCATTTTCCTCTTCTTCTTTGTTCTTCACAAAAACAGAGGAAATGGACAAGTCCTCCTTCCACCAGGCCCTCCTGGACTTCCCTTCATTGGAAACTTACACCAGCTCGACAACTCTGCCCCTCACCGCTACTTCTGGCAACTCTCCAAGAAATACGGTCCTCTCATGTCCTTACGACTCGGCTCTGTTCCAACCCTTGTGGTTTCTTCAGCAAAAATGGCGAAAGAGGTTATGAAGACCCATGATCTTGAGTTTTCTAGCAGGCCTTCCATGGTTGGCTCGCAAAAACTCTCTTACAATGGCTTGGACTTGGCTTTTGCACCATACAATGACTATTGGAGGCAAATGAGAAAGGTTTGTGTTCTTCAGCTCTTCAACACCAAAAGGGTTCAATCTTTTCATTCAGTTCGCGAAGAAGAAGTGCATCGAATGATTGAGAAAATATCTAAATTAGCTTCTGAGGATAACGGTATTGCTTTTTTTTTTTCTTTTTTTTCTTCCTCTTGGAATAATTGGTGATCTAACATGATATGAGAGCTCTTAGTTTAAGTTTTGGCTATGTTCAAGTCTTATCACCCATGTTTTCTCTATCATTATTTATCTATTTGTGCATCTTATTCTCTTCACATGTGAAACAGGATTGTACGTGAGAGTGTTATCTTAATATGCATTAATTATTGGGCCCATTTCTTAATAACTGAAGTTTTGGGGACAATTGGTGATCTAACAGGTATTAACTTGAGTGAGATGCTCATGGCTCTCACAAGCACCACAATCTGCAGGGTTGCTTTTGGGAAGAGGTATGAGGATGAAGGTCATGAAAGAAGTAGATTTCACAGCCTACTCAACGAAGGTCAAGCCATGATTGCGAGCTTCTTCATTTCAGATTATTTTCCTTTGATGGGTTGGGTTGATAGACTTTCTGGACTCTATGGCCGCCTTGAGAAAAATTTCAAGGAGTTTGATAAGTTCTACCAAGAAATCATCGATGATCATCTTGATCCAAAAAGACGAAAATCTAATCAAGAAGACATCACAGACGTCTTGCTGAAATTGCAAAACAATCGGTCGTTAGCTATTGATATTACTTTTGACCATATTAAAGCAGTCCTTATGGTAATCTTTTTGAATTTTCAATGACTAATTTTATATATGACATCACGACCCACTAAACCATAGGGGAAACTACAAGTGTATTTTTTCAAAAAAAAAAGTTTAAAATTAATGGTAAATCATACAAATTTTAATAATTAAACTCTTAAAATTTTTCATTAATTAGTAAATATTTTGTGAATGTGGCATGAAGTGTAATTTTCCATAAAATATAAGGAGATAGAGAATATAGCATGAAAGGAAATGATTGATCTTGATTCTTTACGTACGCTTATCATTTTTTGGTCAAGAATTCTTTATTTCTAAATTTTTATGTCCTGTTGTTCCAAACAACTATAGCCATTGGATCATTTCACACCCCAAGATTTGTTTTCATAACAATACAACAATAATTTAAGATTTTTGAGATAAAAACTAAACATTTAGTGATGTATTGGGGACCAAAATTTTTGTTTCAAAAAAAAAAAAATTGTACCAAATTACTTTGCCGTATTTATTAGCGATATTTTAAAAATTTTGTCGCTAAGTCTTTCGCAACAACAGGAATTGGTTCTATAATATTTTTTGCATCAAAATTTTCACTTCTAAGAATAAAAAAATTTAATTCCTAAAACTCTTATTTGTTAGTGAGATTTGGGGACAAATAATCCCTAGCCTTTTTTCAACCTTATGTTAACGTTGTCTGTTTTATTTTGTTGTAGAACATATTTTTTGGTGGCACAGACACAAGTGCAGCTACATTAGTTTGGGCAATGACAGCGCTAATGCAGAACACTAAAGCGATGAAAAGAGTGCAAGAGGAAGTCAGAAATTTGGTTGGAGAAAAAGGCAGTGTAGATGAAGATGATCTTCAAAACCTTCCATACCTCAAGGCAGTAGTAAAAGAAACAATGAGATTGCACCCTGCAGTTCCACTACTAGTGCCACGAGAAACAACTCAAACATGTAAGATAGATGGGTATGAAATTCCACCCAAAACCTTAGTCTATGTGAATGCATGGGCCATTGGAAGGGACCCTGAAGCTTGGGACAACCCACAAGAGTTCTTACCTGAGAGATTTATAGGGAGCACAATTGACTTCAAAGGTCAAGATTTTGAGCTTGTTCCCTTTGGTGCTGGTCGAAGAGGTTGTCCTGGGCTCTACATGGGTGCTGTTCAAGTGGAACTTACACTTGCTAATCTTCTTGGTGCATTTGATTGGGAATTACCCGTTGGGATGAAGAAGGAAGATTTAGACACCGAGGTCATACCCGGTGTAACAATGCACAAGAAAACTGCCCTTTGCCTTGTAGCTAGAAACTATAATTAGTAGGTAATGGATTCTTTTCTCAAAATCTTCAATTTTTTTTTCCTAATGCACTCTCAGTTATATGATCGTATCTTGAACTTTTTGGATTTCAAGATTCCCATCATATCATATTGTTGGAAGTATATTGAGAAAAAAGAAACTGAAATTTTGGAAACAAAGGATCCCTATATTAGAAAATCCTAAAACAAACTTTGACAAGAAAAATGTCCTTTGCCTTGTACCTAGAAACTATTAGTGGGCACAGCACCATCTGTCATAAAATTTCTGTCTTTTCATTTTTAATGTACTCTTAATTGTTGGATTGTATCATATTTTGAAATTTGTACCATATTTCGTGTGCTGAGACTGTGTTGGGAATGGAAGGACAAGAATTTTAGAAGCAGAATGGACACTTTAATTAGGTTGGTGAATAAGCCTTCGATATTAAATGAAATGCAGTAGGATCAATGTGTGCTTGAATGATCACCGTGTCCTTTTAGATTTCAATTGCATAATAAATAATCTATTCTTTTTTCTTTTTGTTTTTTTGGTAGGTGAATCATATATTTTATATAAAAAAATTAAATGTTATAATCAAGGATGTAATTAGGAGAAGAGTATGGGGCCATGACCCCCCTCCATCTATGAAATATACTATTTGCTTCAACAAAAATTATGTACCTCACTTTTCTCCCACCTTGCATTCTCTTTTTATTTTGCACAAAAAAACTTCTTCATCCAATACCAAATTACTTCCATAGTTTTTGATTTGTTTATTTATTTTGTGTGTGTATATATAACTTGCGGGAGATGTTACAATGTGCACCCTCAAAAAGGTGCATATGATATACTTTTCATAACTTTTTCACAAAATTTCATAACTTAAATCCAAAATGTCATAGCTTTTTCACTAAAAAAGTCATAACTTTTTTTTACTGAAAAATGTCATAACAAAATCTCAAAGTATCTTAACAAAAATCACAAAATGTCATAAAATTATCATTCCTAACTTTAGGATGCACATCATAAATTCGCTATTTATAACTTTACTACAAAATGTCATAACACACATCACAAACAATTATAACGTTCATCATAAAAAATCATAACTTTTTTACAATGTGCATCGTTTGAAAAGATGCACATTGTAAATTTCTCCATAACTTACATATCATATTATATATATATATATATATATTTGCTATTGTATATGGTGAAAATTTTTAATTCAAATTTTGACCCCTCCAGTAATAAAATCCTGGTTCCGTCGCTGGTATTACATACCTAAAGGCAACACACCCTTCAAAAAAGGAAACACTCCTAAATACTTACTCACAACATAATCTACTAAATGGATTTAGATAAGTCCGGAGTTAGGTTAAAACAGTACAACACATTGAATAAATCAATTTTAAATAAAGTTTTGTCCAATCAACACTATTATGACAAGAAAACCAAACCATGGTTTTCACCGAACCCAACCCATGGGTTTTGGAACAAACCTAGCATGGATTTGAACAAACTAGCAACAACAACACTGTAGCATCCTTCTAGCAATTCAGCAGCAGCAACGATAAGCACACATGAAGATCGGTCAACCAAAACTCTGGCTGTGTTGGAACAAAAAGACCATCTCCAACATATATAAACACCTCATGGGAGCCCACAAACTCAGGGCTTTTTTACATCACTCTTAATGGCAAATCAAGAATTTCCAGAAAAACACATAGAAATTTACCCATCAACAATAACCACCATAAAATCTTGCATACACAAACAAGAATCTAGAAAAGGAAGGAAAAATTTCATAGAAAATCTAGAAAATCGAAGTGGGTTCTTAGTTTTCACTATGAAAGCTCACATACAAAAATGGATACACCAAAAAACACTCCATCCATCATGTAGAAGCAAATCTTGAAGCAAGAGTAGGGATAACCCAAGAGATTAGACTCTATAACATAGAGGAGATATCTCAAAAACATAAATCTCCCCTAAAAAACAAAAATCCACTAGTATAGCCCAGGGGAGGCATCAAGGTTCCCAGGGGAAGAGATGGGATTGTATAATAGCCCCTTTTCTATGGCTGTGAAAAGCCGTAAAAATTCTCTAGAGAGAGAACCCTCAGAATTTTAATACACAAAATTACAAATAATCCTTTCCAAGACCAAAATATAAGTGACTTGATGACCCTCTTTCTCTCTCCTTTTTGTTTTGTTTTGTTTTTTTGTATTTTATTTTTTGTTTTTTGTTTTTTTTGTTTTTTTTTTTTTGTGTTTTTTTGGTTAACGAGTAAAACTTACCAAACTTGTCCTCCGTCAATTTCGGAATCAACTACCTAATGTCCGTTAACCGAAGTAGGATGAGGGGAAAACCTTGGCTGTGTGCATCGACTCTACAATTCACACACCATTTCAGTCAGAGAGTATAGCTGCCAAGATTCGACCCCACACCCAAGCCCCAGATACAGGCCATCCAACACTCAGAGGACCATCCTAGGATGTAACGCCCTCAAAATAAGACATATGACAATCATGCATAAGATCCATAAACATAGTAGAAAAGTATTATATTCCTTTACAAAAAAATATCACATGCATTACATTTTCATTGATGTTTATCCTGAAACTATAGCATGTAATTCTAACTCCTAATAATAAAGTAAATGCCCTAAGGGCTTACATCTTTCCAAGTTATCATTTGGTTACAGCAAAAGAAGAGTTCTAACTCTTTTACATATAAAGCCCTCAGCTTGAGTTTACATTTAACATCAAAAAATAAATCATCAAAATGGAGCCTTCAACTCTTAAACCTCCCAAGCTAAGACCTTGGAGGCGGCATGTCCCTTGTACCTGCAAAATGGTGTCCCAAGTAGGGTGAGCCAAACCCCAGTAGAGATATGCTAAACAGTATATGGGAATTAACTAAAACACTAGCATCCGATAAATGTTTAACACAAGTAAACTAACGTACACCCTTTCCATGACCAATCAATATTGACATCCATATTTCAATCCACTTCTATTTATTCATCCAAATCAATTCATTGACTTAGTTCATTGATATCGAAATATTTCAAAATGAGACTACAACTCATATTATTAACACTTCAATCATAAACATCATTCATACACTTCCATTATCTTGCCATTTTACGGAACTACATCCGAGGGAACCGGCACCCAAATATATATATAAGATTTCGGGACTTTTATCCTAGACACTCCGGCCAACTTAATTATCAATGGAATCCATCCCCTATCTCCTCCCAAACAATGGAGTACAACCCATATCTCCTCCCAAACAAGATACATCTACAATGTATTTAACACATCGTCATATACAAGACCAATTAAATCACACATTCAATGTTTATATACAACCGTCATATTCAATGACATAATCCAATTGATTAGTTTCAATTCACCTAATCATCATGCAGTTTCTACAACAATCATGGCTATCCTCCACCAAGATAGATATATCTAAACTGATAAATAAATTTCTCAATAGATATCACATTTTCCATAGGGTGAGTGATTCATTGATCCAACTACACCATCAAATCACAATTTCCTTCAATTTCATGATTCTCAAACCAATTTCATATTTTCACATTTATCTCATGATTCAACCAATAATTAATTCAATTCAAATTAGGGCATTTTTCCCCCTTTCTCAAATATTGCACTCAAGGCCAAATTTTCTCCCATTATACACAAATAACCTATTTTTCAAGACCCCACATACATATAGAGCCCAAAAATAGAAAACCCCTCTTTTACTATTTCAAACTCAAAACCCTAACTTCACACAAACCAACCATTTATACAAAATGACCAATATTTATGTTAAAGCTCATAGTAATGAGTAGATTATCCCTACCTCAAATGGAGAAACTCAAAGGAGAAGAAGAGAGAAACTCAAGGTGCTCCAAATCCATACTTTTTTTCAGATCAAAAGATAGCCCACGCAATGCTCTAGCTTTTTAACAAAGGGAGTAGGATAGAATGACCATAGATCAAGAGTATTTGTAGAGATAAGGGGTATTTTAGAGAGAGAGACTTTCGATTTAGGGTTTTGGAAGAAGAAGAGGTTCAAAAATGGTGTAAAAACACGCTGCTGTGAACTGATATATGCGAGGCTCGCTCGAGCGAAGGACTTGTCGCTCGAGCGACCAGACACAACAAGGACCTCGCTCGAGCACAAGAAGCGTCACTTGAGCAAACAATGCGAAGCTTCAGGTCTGCCACTCACACAGACGCACGCTCAAGCACAAGAGTGCTCGCTCAAGCAAAGAGACACACCAACGAGGCTCGCTCGAGCGAAGAGACCAAAACTTGGACAGCAACCCCTTGCACCAACTCACAACCAACATGTTTCAAACTCGCCCAACACACCCCAAAACTCAGATACAAGGAATTAAATGATGGAAACAAGATACAGACAACAACATACAACCACTAAACCCGAGTCCGAAACACAACAAAGGTCGGGGTAAAACCTAGATCGCTATATAGGACCACTACACCAAATCCCTAGGAATTGGCCCTCGGAAGTGTGGAACCTAAAACCTCAAAGGTTATGTCCCAAAGCCTTACCAAAGTGTTACAACCCCTGGGTTAATTCTTATTTTGTTTTGTCTTGTTTTTTTCTTTGTTTTCACCTTCTTTGTTTTCACCTTCTTTGTTTTCTCTTACCTCCGCCCCAAAGCCTTACCGAAGTGTCACAACCCCTAGATTAATTCTTATTTTGTTTGTCTTGTCTTTTTCTTTGTTTTCACCGTCTTTGTTTTTTCTCTCACCTCCTCTGGTGACACCACTATCGTTTTTGTTGCCACCTTCCTCTCCACCGCTAGACAAGGACACAAACCCACCATAATCATCTCTTTATCTATTCCTGCACATCACATGGATCATATCACATAAATTAGTTTTTCTACTTTCCTTTCTTTGCTGCTAAAGCTCTTGCTATGACACATTTATTGAGATTTTATCAGCTCTAATTTTTTTTTTTATCAGCAAAAAAAAAATTTATTGATGATAAAAGCAAAGTATATGCAAAATTACATCAACAAATCAGGGAAGTACACAAAGTATCATAGCTATCCTCCACAATCCCAACTAGGTTGGCACCGCAAAAGAAACATAATCATTTGCTAGCACTTGACCCAAGTTGGTGAGAAGCTAATCAAGAGCAACCAAAAGAAGAAAAAACAGAACAACAACTGTAGGGTGGCTTGTGCCTCATTGAAAAGGTATCTTCCTCTGCTCGAGTTACTGCTCAATAAGATTGAGTCTGACAATGCGTGAGTCACACCTCTGAGTAAAACACCCTTTCTGAATCTTGCACTCCAATTGCCTTGGCCTTTGTTTTCCTTATAACTTTCTTGGGATTTGGCTTTGCTGGAAGGATTGTCTTTGCTGGAAGATGGCATCTTCTAGCCTCTGTTTCTTTACTAATTACCACCTCTCTTCTAGAGT